TAGATTTATCAAGGATAATTTTCACATGGTACATTAAGCAGATTTTAATGACTCAAATAAATAGACCATTTTGTGGATCCTACTTATTAATCATAATGCTCAATCCATGAAATGATACAATTTCACATGTACAAATTTATTAAGATTTTTTCATGACTTCACACAAACAAACCACTTTAGTGGTAACTATTTATTACTCACAAAATTCTTAATTTACGAGTGAAGATACATGTAGCTCATAAAATTATTTTACGGCAGATTATGGACCACAACTTAAAAGCCATACCAATAATATAAAACTCATACAAAATACCATCATATTTCACTTAATTACAACCTCCAACCAGAGAACAAAATTTTTCATTGAAAATCCAAGATTAGTAATTACGTAGGGCATGAAAACATAAACTAAAATTTGAGAAATATTTTTATGCATAAATATACCAAACGCTCCAATCATTAGTCATCTTGGATATCAAACAGAGGATTTCACTTTCTTACAAAATAATTATATCATCACACAATATCAATTGTACCTTGTAAGACATATTCAATAAAATCCTACACTTCTATTAATAAATTTAATACAACAACACGTCTATTTACTAGTAGCCAATGTGTAAACCTATTATATCACCAGTATTTAATCATGGAGACCATGGGGAGTCACCCCCACCACCATTGAATTAAAATTGAATTAAAATTATTAAGAAATAATTTTTAGAAAATAGAAAAACGTCCAAAACACAGTCCAAACGACCTCTGAAAAATACCATGATTCACTGTTAAAGCAGTGAGTTTTTTTCACCACGTCGTTTTCGATGGGCCCACCACATTTCAGCTCAATCGGAATCTGTCAACTTTGTTGACCTCCAAAAATACTGGCAATTCGGTCAAAATCAGATTTTGCGTTTTTCTAGGGTTTACCAAAAAAAATCAGATCATCCCAATCAAATATCAATAAAAAACAGATACCTCATGATTACAAGAATAATCTAAATTTTTGCACAGTTAATTCACAAAACAGTAGTGCGGTTTTTCAGAAAATCACATATACATGTAATTCAAAAACGCACATAAACACGATATTCTTGTTTCATGAAAAATCTAGTTTTCTAATTAGATGTGAGTGGGCTCTGATGCCAATTGAAGGATTATAATAAGTAGCGGAAGCAATCCCAGTATCAAAATCACATGTAATATAGACAACTGGTATAAACGAGATTTCACGGGTTACCTCTTGAAGCGTGAACAAAGCTCATCTATCACGTGAGCCTCCAATTCCACAGCAACTCAATGAATTCTTCATCATCAGCATGATAAAGATTCGCGAACATTCCACAGTCTTCTACTGTGTTACTCAAATAATATCCGGAAATAGTAATTTCGTGTGGGCGAAATTTTCTAGGAAAAAGGTTGAAAATTTCGGCCACCTTGTTCTGCCTCCTCTAGGTGGAAAACCTTATGTATTTATAGCACAAGTTTTAAGGGTTAAAACCCTTTTCCAAAACCTGTTGGGTTTTCTTTTCCACGAGAAAAAAAATTCTTTTATTTTCTATTATTTAGGCACAGTAGGGACCACAAAAATTAATTAACAAGACTTTTAATTATGGAATTAATTTCTAATTTTTGAAATTAATATCCACCATAATTAATTAAGAATTATTCCACTAAAAATTCGTAATTGCACTCCTTATTCAATTTTAAAATTCATCCATTAAATCTTATTTAACTCCCCATGTTAAGATTCAGATACTAATCAATTAAATTAAATTACTTATTGATTATTTCTTTTAGACTTTCGCTTAACTTATTTCATGTGTCGGATACAAAATCCACCGATCGGGTTTACACATGGAATCATGAAATATAATCAATATAGGATAAGGAACACTTACCCCAATGATTTCCCATGAAAATCGCCCAAAAATCGCCTAAACCGAGCTCCCCAACTCTATTTTTGTCAAAAATGGTCAAAAAACCCGTTTTATAGACCCTCAGATGTTTCGGGCGTTACAGGTAGCGTGGGGCGCTGCCTGTGTCGCAGTTTCCAGTATCCCAAAATTCCCAGCGCCAGGGCTAGCGCCCCACGCTACCCTGGGCGCTCGCGGCGACGGAAAAATCGTTCCAGTTACGAAAATAGGCATAACTCTCTCATACGATGTCCGAATTCAATGATTCTTTTTGCTATGGCTCCGTAATTTCAATGCGGATCTAATACTTCAATCAAAACTGAATTTGGAGCTCACTTGATTAATGTGATACCATATATTCTTGAAGAATCGACATCAAACATTCCAGGTTCGATGCCGAAACATAGCAAATCAATCCGGAATGAACTCAAATTTTGTGTACAAGTCATAATACCTCGTAGGAAATTATTCAAGATTTCAAATAGTTGAAAGGAGAGTAATTACTCAAAAAAATGACAAGTCGGGTCGTTACAATGCACCTCGTGTGCAGATCCAGGTACGTCCGGACACGGCGGTTGCTAATCTTTTGAAGCTTTATCCATTGAAAACTATCGAGGTAGCTGCTTGACGTCCGCATACCTTGACTTTCTTTCCTTTTAGTTTTTGTACTGTTCTATATTTTCAGAGAGTGTTTCATCAGTCAGACATTGTTATTGTTTAGATGCCCATGTACTCCGTGACACCGGGTTTTGGGAGTGTTTATATATGTATTTGTGAGATTTCTTCCGCTGAATTTAAATATATTTTTTCAAACTAAAAAGATATAGTGGTTTACTAAGATTGTCGGCTCGCCTAATATTGAGATAGGCGCCATCACGACAGGTGATATTTTTGGGTCGTGACACCAATCCCAGATTAAGTTGGTTGAATTAACTTCACAGTAACTGTCCACATCCAACATCGAATGTAGCAATTGAACTACCGCACCAGAATCAGATCCTTTCATTTCTGTGGATGAACCCAAATTGGCTAATGCGACTGCCTCCACATTTTTCTCCCTTGGAATGTGGATGATTGACCACTCTGTGAACCGAGAAATTAATACTTGAACCTTGTTCAAGTATTATTGCATGCGCTCCTACTTGGTGTCAAAAATTCCGTATACTTGGTTCACCACCAGCTAGTAATCACACTTTATTTTGATGACCTCGGAACCTAGTCCCCGAGCTAGTTCAAGTCCCGCAACCAAAGTCATTTGTAACCAAGTATACTAAGAAGTTAATTAGTGAGATTTTTCATGTATAATATATATATATATATATATATATATATATATTATTTCAAATATCTACATTAAAAGTTGTACTAAATAATGTCAAAGAATTTTGTTTTCTTTAGAAGAAATATAAATAAGGGTCCCACCAGAAGCATATGCTTCCTGAATTTGAAAAAAAGGTGGCATCAAATTGCAAATGATGTTGGCCATTGAAAAATTGTCACTTTCCAACTGGATGCCTTTGTCTGCATTTTCGAACATTCTGCAAACATTTGACCAAATTAATGACTTTTTCCCTATTAAAATAATTCACTCTTCCTATAATGAGAAAGTATCTAAAATCTTACATATGAATTTCTTCACTACTCTTATTAAACCAGATTTACTTTTGATCTATATGCACTTCAAGAATTAAGTAATAATATAACTATTTTATATTGGTTTAGTGGAATATTTCATCCAATACTTCGGATTATTCATGTGCTTACATATAATAAATAATCTCATATTTACTCTTGATCCTAACAGAGCTCCTTTCTTTAGGTATTATTGAACATAATTTTAAATCATAGTCAAAAGTAGAGGGATAAATATAACATTTTTATCTGAAGTATTTGACACATAAAATTCACTCGCTCCTCGTTAGAGCCAGGGGTGAAATTATATGTAGCCAAGGTGGTCAACTGAATATTCTTCGCAATTATATTATGTATAAAGTAAAATATTTTTTGTTATTAATTAAAAAATAAACTTTGAACATTTTTTCAAAATTGCATAGACTTTGAACATCATTATTGAATTTTTTGACTTTAATACCGCCTGAGCTTCAACGAGGTTATACTAAATACAAGACAAATAGCTCGAAGTATAACGGATGATTTTAATTGTTCACTATTTTGAGTTGTATTAAAGAGGAAAATAATCATTATAAGTTGCTACAGTACAAAATGATAGTGTGATACTACTATAACATAGTAATGGACTTTATATATCACTAATTCACTATCTGGTGTTGTATATTTTGTTCTTTTATTGTTGTTTTTGTGTTTGAATTCTAAGAGCCCATACCTCCAAGTCCTTAGTACACACATGCTTAGTTGGCTTCAACTATAGGAAAAAAGATACTAGGAATCTGTTCATAAATACTCAATCATTTTACCATATTTTTATAGACTTTTCACATTCTTCTGTTTTTTTTCTCAACCTGAAATAATTCTTCTTTTGTGAGGGAAACTCCCCAAAGGCCCTTTTTTTTTCCTTCTTTTTTCTTTACTAAAATTTTAAGATAAAAACAATTACTCTTTCTGTTCTAAGTTATGTGAACCTGTTTGATTGGATACGGAGTTTAAGAAAAAATAAAGACTTTAATAATTTATGGTCCTAAATAAATCAAAAAGGGACCCATAGTATTTGTGTGGTTATAAAAACTTCTCATTAATGATAGAATTGTAAGTTTAAGTTAAATTGTTATCAAATTTAGAAAGAGATCACTTTTTTAAACTGACAAATAGGTTCACCAAAACTGAAACAGTGAGAGTATCTCATTTGTTTTAAAATAATAAATAAAAAAGAAAAGAAAACAAAGAGGAATTTAAGGGAATGTACCACTAGATTGTGTTAAGCTAGACATAAGGCGAAAATTTCGATATGTCTCAAAATCTCTGTCCCCAGATTTCAAGAATCTTTAGATCTAGAAAATAAAAAAATAAATGCAAAAAGAAAAACTTTTTTTCTTTTACTTTTTGTATGCCTTTTCCATATTCCAAGAAATTTATTTTCATCCATCTAAAGACAAGTAAAAAAACAAAAAAATGGTACACAGTATCTGTAAAGTTCTAGAGTTAAGATTAGCACAAGCTCTACATTTAAGGTCTCTTTATACTTTTTTTGTCATATAGTATGAAAATAATAATCTTTTTATTGTGGATATGTACAATGACATGAATAAAATAATTTATTTGGTTCATAGTGTACGTGGGTGTTTTTGTTTTTTATATATTAGTATAGTTTAAGGGTAAAGATTAAATCTTTATGCAAGAAGGTTAGTGATATTTAACAATAATTACTTATGTAGTAATAAATGAACAGCTCATTTTGGGGTACTGAAGTTACTACAGTAGACTAGTGTCCTGTGTTGTTCCAGTTTCCTTTAGGTAATTTTATGACCACTCATTCCTTTGTTTTTGTACCCAAAGTGAAGAGAAGTTAAAGGGGTTTTGTCTCTAAACTGTCTGTGTTTACATTTGACTGTTTGAGTTTACTAACTTTTATAGGATCTTGGTTAGTAGATTTTCTTTGTTTGCTTCAGTGGAGCAGAAGTTCAATTAAGGTACTTTCTTTCTTTTTTTCTTCTCCTGCTCCTTCATTTTCTGCTTCTGTCTGAAATGTTGTGTGCTTCTAAAGCAGTTTTGAGATGTGGGATTTTGAAGTTGAGGCTAAATTTGTTAAGGGTTTCTTAATCTTTAAATATTTCTTGGATTTTGGTGTTGTCTATGCTTTTTAAGGTGTTAGATAATGTTAGTTTTTGTTAACGTTTAGTTCTTTGAACACTGTTTTTGCTCTTATGAGAGTGACTGTTTTGTGATTTTGAACACTGTTTTTGCTCTTATGAACTGATAAAGCACATGTCTTAATCAATGTTACCTCTGTAGTGACAATTTCTTTTGTTTTTAAACTACCCTGAAGTGGACTAATAAGTACATGACACTATTTGTATACCAAGAATTGGATGACTGAAACTGAAATGTCAAATACTTGGGGAATCCTGTGATCTATTATTTAGGAGAACAAGCATTCTAAACTGCCAAAAGTTTGAATCTTTTGTTAGGTCTTTGTTTAATGAACAAGAATGCATTAAGTGCTGGTCTTTTGCTGTGGAGTTGTCACTGCGGGAAATCTGGATTCGCTAGACAGTAGACATCCTTTAGTGGAATATTATGCTAAGATTTCTTGTGTTATGAGAGTGTGCCTTCCTTTTTCTTATTGCAGGGTTGGGTGGGAATATGGTGTATATTCTTCTGGACTTCCAGTAGAGTGCTATTACTACCTAGAGTTTAACTGCTTTCTTGGGTTCTGTCTTTTTTATCTTGTTGTTGTTCGTACTTGTTGCCATTACTTTTTTCATCATATGGGGGTCTATCGGAAACAACTTCTCTGCCCTTCCAGGGTAGGCGTAAGGCTGCGTACATCTTACCCTCCCTAGACCCCACTTGTGGGAAATCACTGGGTTTGTTGTTGTTGTTGTTGTTTTTGTTGTTGTTGTATTCTTCTAGTAGAGTTCATGTTTGTTATACAAAATCCCATGCTCTTAGCACAGACAACAAGCTAGAGAGAAAAGAGTTCTATTATCACTTTCTGATACTGCTTTTCTTTTGAATTACTTTACTATAAACACGTCCCTCCATAGTAATAGCTTGGTGACTTGGCCTTTACTCTTGAGCTCCTCGCACGCCTATACCTTATTTCATATCCGTTTGGTGGGTTCTCTAATTCCTGGTTAATACTATTAGGAGAAACCCAATGATGTAGAAGGTTACCGTTAACTAATGTTAGAGCATTTATTCCAAAGTTTTTTTTACAGTGGTTGAACTCTCTTAATAAGTATTCTCCCTTTGATGCGTATAGTTAAATTTATAAAAGTCTTCACTTTTTGAATTTCTTTGCTCATTTTTTAGATATCTGGGGCCAGTTTTATTGGGGAGGAGTGTTTTGCCTGTTAAGTTTTGCATTTCTGTTTATATTTGGAGCTAATAATCGACCTACATTTTTGAGGCAGTCATACGTCTGAGTTCATCTTTCTTTTCAATGAAACTCGCGTTAACTTTTGTACTCTATTTCCTGTAGAACCTCTTGACAAACCTCGTCTGAAGCAACAGTGCAGGCTGATTGATACTAGAGTTATAAATTTTGGATGCTTCTGATGATGCTCAAACCGTGGCTTGCGATATCCATACTATTTTCTTTCCTCATCTCAAATGTAATAGGTAATGCTTAAGTTTCTATTTATCAGCTCAATAATCTAATAGTTGTATGGTGATTCAGGACATTGGTTACTTGATTATGTTCTTAGTTGTTCCTGTTTTTTGTGTTTTGATTTTCTGTTGTTCATGTGATTCATTTGTAATAGGATCCAACAGCTGAGCTTTTTACGTATTGTCCTTGATTTGATTTTGTTTGGAGTTTTAATGTGTATGTTATTTCAAAATTGTAGGTGCATTTGTTGGAATAAACATTGGCACCGATGTTTCAAATTTACCGCCAGCTTCGGATGTGGTTGCACTCCTTAAAGCTAATCAAATAACTCATGTGCGCCTATTTAATGCTGATGCTCATATGTTGAATGCGTTAGCCAACTCTAGTATCGAAGTTGTTATCGGTGTTACAAATGATGAGGTCTTAGGGATCGGAGAATCTCCATCAGCTGCAGCTGCTTGGGTAAATAAAAATGTAGCAGCTTACATTCCCTCTACAAATATTACGGCTATTGCCGTGGGTAGTGAAGTTCTCACCGCAATCCCAAACGCTGCACCGGTTTTGGTTCCTGCTATGAATTACTTGCATAAAGCATTGGTTGCTTCACAACTTAATAACCAAGTTAAAGTTTCAACCCCGCAATCAATGGACGTGATTGCTAGGGCATTTCCTCCTTCCACTGCCACTTTCAATTCTTCTTGGAACTCAACAATCTTCCAGATCCTTCAGTTTCTAAGAAACACAAACTCATACTTCATGTTGAATGCTTATCCATATTATGAATATGTTCACTCTGATGGAATCTTTCCGATTGAATATGCCCTTTTCCAACCACTCTCCACAGTGAAGCAAATTGTTGATCCAAACACCCTGTTTCACTATGTAAGTATGTTTGATGCTTTAGTTGATGCTGCATACAACTCTATAGCAGCCCTCAACTTTTCAGATATCCCAATCGTTGTGACCGAGACTGGTTGGCCGTGGGATGGTGGTGCCAATGAGCCCGATGCTACTAAGGAAAATGCGGAAACTTTTAACAATAACCTGATTCGGCGTGTTTCAAATGATACAGGTCCACCTAGTCAACCTAAAAATCCCATTGACACCTTTATTTATGAGATGTTCAATGAAGACAAAAGACCTGGACCGATATCGGAAAGAAGCTGGGGTATCTTTTCTATAAATGGGAGCGAGGTTTATTCCCTTAGCCTAGGTTCCTCGGGCGGCATCTCTGACAATTCTACTGCAGTTTTCTGTATAGCAAAAAAGGGTGCAGATGAGAACAAATTGCAAGATGGAATTAACTGGGCTTGTGGCCAGGGACATGCTAATTGCAGTGCTATTCAATCTGGGCAGCCTTGTTATTTTCCAGATACATTGCAAAATCATGCTTCTTACGCTTACAATGACTATTATCAGAGAATGCGTAGTGTTGGTGGAACATGTGATTTTGATGATACAGCAACAACGACAACACAAGATCCAAGTAAGTTACCATATCTGATGTTTTAGTATGTATTTTCTTTTTTGTCTCTACAAAGGAGTTCCAAGAGACTATTGACTGTTTTTTTAGTTATCTTCTTGTCCAGTCTAGTCACATTTTTTATGGCTACATTAGATGAATGACATTAGTTTTTTCAAATGTTTGTGTATGAGATATGGTAGTGGAACATTGCTTGTTTTGCAAAGTTAAGCAACTTGTATCTGTTTGATTTCTTACAGATTTTGCAATGGTTCTCTAAGTTGTGACACAATGAGTAAAATGCAAAGTATGCGACTGTACACTATACTGCTAAATGCATCTAGCAGTATATTTCTAAATAACATTTCAACATGCTGATGCTGCATTTCAGTCTACAGAAAGCTCTTTGCTCTTCCATTTTCTTTTTCTTTCTTTTTTCCCCTTTTGGCCCCTTGTCCGGATCATACTTGCAAAATCGTCGATAATGATCTAGACAATATGCATTGAAATTACAACCCTTTTCGTCCTCTGTGTATGTTATCAGAACCATTTCTTTTGCTTTCTTATCTAAAGCTCGACTCATTTGATGGTTATCCTTGTGCAGGTTCCAAAACATGTAAATTTACAGGAAGGTGAGATTACCTAAACTAAGTATATGTGTACATGGTAAATTGCAAAAATATTGCTTCTGTGCTAAATTGCTTTCTTTTATTCGACAGTTCGACTCCAGGTGGGCTTTTCCCTCCGGCAGCATTTGGACCTATCAGTCCGACATCTCAGAGTTCAACGATTCGAGCATCTGTTATCGTGTATACATTGGCTGTATTTTCTGCTTTGTTGATGCTTGATGTGAATGTGCATTTTGTTTAATAGCCTCTTTATGAAGTCAGTTCTTTCCCTTGATGATTCCTCATGTATTTTTCAGGAAAATTGAACCATTTCAGTAGTCAGTTTAGATGATTGATATCTGTCTGACATCAACTAGATGATTGAAATCCATTTTTTGATATTTATTCCTGTTGATGATATCCACTTTAGTCATGTTACATGTTTACTAATTTCTAAGAGTCATTTAGTCATGTCAGAGATTTACATGCTTTCAAGTATTTTAGTTTTGTTTTTATTTTGTATAACATTGGCCTTGAGATGAGCTTCAAATGGAGTGACATTGTTAGCAAGGATTCATGTAGGTCGATCTCAACTTGTTTGGAATTCAGGCATAGTTATATCTTGGTTGATGAATAACCTCCTTGCCATTTGTCGTTCATCCACTATTCGGTCAACCGGCTCATCTTGTAGGTACCTTGGTAGGTCAAGTTTCGTCAATGTATTTGACGGAATAGTTAGAAGTATGCACAAGATGGCCAATCAAAATTATTATAGAAAGAGAATAAATGTCACGTGAAAATGTACATTAGATATACTTAATGACTTAGTATATAAAAAGGGCAGTCCAGTGCTTTAAGTTACCGCTATGTGCGGGGTCCGGGAAGGATCGGACTATAAGAGTCTATTGTACGCAATCTTAACTTGCATACGTAATGACTCAGTATATGTAGCGCAATATTTTTTAAACAACAATTATTTTTGGTAATTTTCCAAAGAATTTTGTATGCCAAGCAATAAACTATGGAGTATTCTCTTTCATCTTTTCTTTTTATAAATTTTTAATTAAATCATTGTCAAAATCCCCCAATGCTAGCAAAAAAGTTCCTGGTCTTCCCGTATCTGTCTAGGGACAAAATGAAAGCCTCATTTGAAGAATGGAAATTGTCCATAAAATGTTTTCCTTTCAAAAATGTGTTTATCCATAAAATTTTGTAAGCTTTTGGAAATTTTTTGAAAATGAGTTTTTTAAAAATCAAAAAGTGCTTTTGACCACATTTTTAAAATTTCAGATTTTTTTTTCCCACAAAACTGTAATATTTTTTCTAGTAAAATGCATGTCCAGCCATAATTTCAAATTGCAAATATCATTTTTCAATTTAACTCTAAATATATATATATTTTTAAAAAAATTATAATTTTTATGTCCAAACGCCTATTAAGTACCAAATTGTCTAGTACTAAAAATAGAATTTAATTTATATATACACTTTAATAATTATTAAAAATATAATTGCCTGAAATAATGATAGATATTTTGTTATAACAAATTAAAATACGTATAAAGTAATTAGGAAAACTTAGAAGAGAATATTTAAACCACGAATATGATCTCTTTATATAATCTCTTTATATACTTTCCAACGACGTCGTATGAAAGATGGAATAAAGGCAAGAAAGCAACAGAAATAGAAAGCAATCCACTTCGATAGACTGAGAGATAATCTTCAATGTACGGCGGAGCTCCGTCGGGCGGAATAGGAATCGGCGGTAGTAGTAGTGGAGGAAGAACATGGCCGTCGACGACGTCGGTGTCTAGTTCCGGTAAGAGAATACAGAAGGAAATGACTGAACTAAGCATAGAGGCACCACCAGATTGTGCAGCTGGGCCTAAAGGCGATAATCTTTACCATTGGGTTGCTACCCTCTTCGGCCCACCTGGTCAGTCTTCTATTCCCCTCTCTTTCTTTAGCTACAAGGAGTTAATCTTTCTTTTTCTTGTGGATAAGTATTACAAAGTGTTGATTTTTTTTTTTTGAAGGATTATACTGTGAAGTGTTAGGGTTTGAAGCGTAAAGTTGGATACTTAGTCCCCTTTGGGCATAAGTACTATTATACAGTATTTGCAAACTTGCAATTNTTTTTTTTTTTTTTTTTTTTTGGTGGATGATACTGTGAAGTGTTAGGGTTTGAAGCATAAAGTTGGATACTTAGTCCCCTTTGGGAATGAGTACTATTATACAGTATTTGCAAACTTGCAATTCTGTATTTTAGAACTTGCACATAATGAACTTCAAGAGAAATATTGAAATAGTTGTTTGAAGGTATATTTCAAGTGAAATGCTGGTTTCAGCTCATAAATCTGTTTTTTAAGTGAAGCTTGTGTCCAAACAAATTGAAACTTCCACAAAAATTATTTATTTTAACTTCAACTCGAATATTGTCCAAACCGTAATACTACTTTAATCCACTTTAACTGTGTTGGATTGACATTAGATGTAAATTGACCAATTTGGTGTTGAAGTGTGTCACTCCATCATTTAGAAGATAAACGATGCTTTTATTTACTTAATTCATGTATGTATTAACAGTTACTCTCATGATTTATCCGAAAAAGAAAAAGAAAAAACTCCAAATCCTGTGTGCTCTGATTCTCGTAGGGACAAGCACACGGAGATACTTTTTTTGTTAATGAGTTGTGGTGAGACTTGAATCCAATAATTATTTAATTCCTTCACGGCAAGGTCCTGCATAACCTTATTTGTTGAATCTGGCCTGATGATGCATACCACGTAGGTCGAAACCTTACTGTTAATGTATCTTGAATCTCTAAATAATAGGAAATGACAATGCTATTTCTGATGAAAGTGATTTTTGTATTCTTCATGTTGATGTGGCTGTGCTTATTGCCTGGTTTCTTTTAAAGTTGGTTATAAAAACATTTGTTTTTGCAAACTGAGTGCTGCTACAAGTACTTCTTTGAATTCCATGGCAGTTCTAAATATGCTCGGGATAACAATTTTGAGCACTTGGTTTATTTATTGGGTTTACATGAATTATGGGTTTTTAAGTTTGAATGTATACTTCTGCTTGATTTTTAGATAAGTAGATAGATAATTATTTTTTTTGCTTCGATTTACTGAAGAATTCCTGGTGTTTCACAGAATGAATATCTTCCTGTTTCTTGCAGGAACACCTTATGAGGGTGGAATATATTTTCTTGATATAACCTTCCCTTCTGATTATCCATTTAAACCTCCAAAGGTATGTTGAAGAATATGCATTAGTGAATGTATACGTGCATATAGTGTTGTACCTTTTTTTTAAGCAAGGCATCTATTGTTGTATTTTGTCTGAATGAAAAGTTTCCAATATTTTCCAATAAAAAGAAACTCTATCTTCTGATATAACTGTTAAAACTAGTACGAGCTGAAAAGACCAGCCGGAGATCCTTGTTCACCCTCTTCTGATAAATTTTGCAGTGTTCTTTCTGCTGAATAAAACTAACATAAGAAATGATAATTGCTATTATAACGAATTGCCTCCCATGAAATAGTCGCTTGATTGCTTCCCTTCCTTTATGAAAACTGTTACTTATGTTCTTTATTTTTGGGTCATGTGTAAATGTATGATCACTCTGGGAACTTAATACTCTTGATGATTCTTCTATTTATTTCTTCACATGTTTGATGAAGGTATCAGACAATAGCTGGACATAATGTCTTTTGGATTGTTTCATGAATCCTAAACATTGTTTCTAAGGATTTTGAGGTTGCCATGTCTTAAAATGGTAATTCAAATATTTTGGGTTTTCGTGTTCTTTACCCATAGAGTACCATCATGGTGGATAATAGAAGCTTCTTTAGCCATTATAATTGTGAGACAAAAGGTTACACACAGATAAGAATTCTAGGAAATTGTGCAGTGATGTTCGTTTTGAGTGCTAAGTTTCTTTCTGGTTCTTCCTTGTTTCTCCTGATTTATCTCTGCGTAAAGGCTGAAACTTGAGCTAATGATGATTTCCTCCGTACTTGTATAATCTTCTTTATGGTTTTTGTTTAAAATGATCACTATGCATTATTGCTTGAAGAGGACAACAAAGAGCACGGCTGCGGAACCAGAAAATGAAGTGAATTATGCCATGAAACAAAATCATTCTCTATGCGACCAAGTCCAGTAAATTCATAAATTGATGATAAATTTGATCCTTCCTGAACTTTGGGTTGGTGTACAATAAATGAGTGAAGTGAGGAAAGAATTCCGTAAGATCTGGTATATGTATAGTTATTTTCACCTTTATACAGTACCATGCTTATCAAGAACATAGTCTTTACTGTAATTAATCTGAACAAAAGACATGGGTGCCTTCGTTGAAACATTTCCACTGCCAAATTCAGCCGATAAACAAAAATCATCTTCACACAATTAACAATATTTCTTGTTTATCAGCTAAATCTGGCGGTGGAAACATTCCCTGGAGATTATCTTTTAGGTCCCTTTTCTTTTCAATGTGACCTCAAGCTTTTGCAGGTTGTATTCAAAACTCGCATATATCATTGTAATGTTGATCCTTCTGGCAATGTTAGCTTGGACATCCTAGCAGATAACTGGAGTCCAGCATTAACAATCTCGAAAGTACTACTTGCTCTGAGATCAATGTTCACCACTCCAGAAACCTGTAAGTTCATCTCCTATCTGCATTCCTTTGCCCTCTCTCAACCGAAGTAAAATAGACAAAAGTATGTTAATTTTATGAAACGAAAAAATGCATAATAAAGTTTGCATGTGTTGTTTGATGAAAGCGATCACAGGTTCATGCTGGACGTCCTTCCACTTATTTGGTTTCAATGAGTTAACTATATGAATATAATAACTACCTTTCTTCTGCATTCTGATGGTAGTATATTTTGATCCTGATTCTTGCAGATAAGCCCGTTGTTCCTGGTATTGCACACTTATACTTTGAAGATAAAACCAAACATGATGAAATAGCTACAGAATGGACACTGCGATTTGCAAGGTGAAAAAAATGAATTCAATGTGGAATTTTCTTAACAAGTTCTGGTCAGCCACCTGCTTAGTTTGAAATTCTCCCTACAGTTACTAGTTAATAGACATTTAAGAGCTGTTGTAGACTTGTAGGTGATATTTAAACTTAACGTCTGTATATAATACATATAGACAGTAAAAAAAAGCAAAAAAAAGATAAATTAGACTTCCGGTAGCTAATGTTTCAATTTTCCGTTGAGCCCAATGGCCTTATTTGTTCTATTTAAATTGTTCATTCCTTCATATTGCTTCATTTACAAGTCCTTAAGGCTGAATCAATGGAAGCAGAACGAAACTTGAGGGCAGGTTTTACCCAAAATTGGAATAATCTTGCATTCCTTAAGAGGGTGTAACATGAAGTTTTAGGTTTGGGATAAGCTGACTCTCAAATCCCGATATATATATGGTGTCTCTTGTGTGTATTCACTGTTTTCCTTGAACTCCATGTTCAATATTTAGTGATATGTAGTTGATAGGAGAACAAAAAGAACTGCCCCCTTTTTCTGTTTATTTTTTAAGAAAAAGTCAACCTTTTACTTTGATAGTAGGATGCCATAACTCAAGTGGTATCCTGACAGTTTTTTAATTATTTAAATTTATTTTTGTTAGTGTTAAAAATTATTATTTCAGTCACCAGAACCACCATATGGTGACCTGGTTTTTATTTGGAATTTGGTATTATCTTAGTGGGTAAGCATGAAGGCATTGTATTGAGGAAAATAAGGATGTCACATTGCTATATAAAACCAGAGCTCCCTACTCACTATGCAAGACAAGTTTAAGATCTTTTCATTCTTTCTGTATTGTTGGCTGCATAAGCAAAATGACAAGCTTAGGAAAGTTGGGGCAATGGCCTTTACTTGTAACTGCTTTGGCAATTTGCATAGCAGCTAACACTGTTTTTGCTGATTACTCTTATGGGTATACTTCTCCCTCACCTTCTTATGCCTCTAAGAAGTATTACAAATCACCATCTCCACCCAAGTATCATGTACCTACTCCTTACTATAAGTCACCTGCTCCTTCGAAGTACTACAAATCACCCGCTCCTACAAAAAACTACTACAAGTCACTCGTTCCTTCAAAGCAATACTACAAGTCGCCAGCTCCCGCGAAATACTACAAGTCGCCCGCTCCCGCGAAATACTACAAGTCGCCCGCTCCCGCGAAATACTACAAGTCGCCCGTTCCCGCGAAATACTACAAGTCGCCGGCTCCTTCAAAGAACTACTACAAGTCGCCATCGCCTGCGAAGTACTACAAATCCCCATCACCTGCAAAGTATTACAAGTCACCATCCCCATCAAAATATTACAAATCACCTGCTCCCTCTAAATACTATAAGTCACCGCCACCACCAAAATATTACAAGTCCCCAGTTTACTACAAGTCTCCACCACCACCAACTTATTATGAGAAATCACCTTCGTATTACAAGTCACCTCCACCCCCACCAAAATACTATGAGCAATTACCATCTTCTTACAAATCTCCACCTCCACCATACTATAAAGAATCTACACCTTCCTATAAATCTCCTCCACCTCCACTAAAATACTACGAACCTATAACTTACAACGTGCCATCTCTACCAAAGACTTATGAAAAATCACCATCTTATTACTCACCTCCACCACCAACGAACTATTACAAGCAAACTCCCACCTATGCCTCACCTCCACCACCTGAGAAGTACGAGCAATCCGCCACCTATGCTTCACCTCCACCCCCATCAGCATCTCCTCCGCCAACCTACTACTAATTTTAACTATTCGATCATTTTCCTCCATTTCCATGATTTTTAATTCCTTTTTGTTCTCTTATTTTTGGCAACTCCATTTCCTCTGCCAAAATTTGATGTATGCTTCCCGAAATGATCGGCTTTTACTTATTGTGTGTTCAATGTTCTTCTATTTTAATAATTTATATTATGTATTTATTTGAAATTGAAGTAAGATCCTCAAGATCTCCATCAGTTCTACTCTTTATATTGAGATTCTTTGCGTCCTACTTTTCCTAATTCTGTCGTCTTCTTTGTCTAGTACTGCATGCTTTTGTTGACTGAATTCTTTCGTTGTTTCTAACTTAGTTGAAATGAAGCGGTATTATCTCTTGAGAATCTTTTCCTTAGAATTGTTTCTAACCTATCTACTAAAGAATTGGTAAAATTACGAATATATTAATTTCTTTTCACGGTTTCTAAAGATGTAAAAAAAATTGAAAGGCTCAAATGGCACACTTAATTTTTTTTAATAATTGACAGTGTATTAAAAGATGGGGATTCAAAGTGAGGTATATAAGGTGTAAGCGTTTGAATTTTTTTTGAATTTTGCTAATTTATAAATAAATTAATGTAACTTTATATAATACCATGATTTACAATCAACTACAATGTCCTAACAATTTAAACATCAAAAGGAAACAAGAATTCTCTTGGAAACAAAGTGTGATATGTACTTCCGGAGAAGTAAATGAGTCGAGAAACATTTTCTTAATGCTACAATTTAAAATTTTCTCTTTGTTTATGACGAGTCGTGTATTCTGGTACATGATACCTCCCACAAGTACATGTACGGGATAACTCTAACCAATTAGGCTTAGGTAGGAAGATATTATCTAGTGTTTTAAAGACTAATGTTTATATTACTAAACTTCTTGGTTGAGATGCAATCAAGTGTTAGATAATTAAGAAATATGATATTTAGGGGTCGTTTGGTACGCGGACTAAATTAGTACCAAGCTAAATTATCCCGGGATTATAATCCCAGTACTAATTTATACCACATGAGAGGTGGGATAAAATAAAAGGAATTTTCAGAAACCATTATTGTTTAGTGACTATTAACTTCCTATAGCTACCATATACATAATTACTTCCTATAGCTACTATTCAGTTGTTACGGTAGTGTATTCGCTGTATTTGCGCTGCTGCATTCATGAATACAACAACAAAAAGCGCTTAAAATCAGGCAGTCCAGCCGTGCGCGCATGTATTCACATGTATTCGCGTTGCTATATTCATGAATACAACAACAAAAGCGCCTAAAATCGGGACAATCTAGTTGTACACGCATTTCATGAATACAACAACAAAAAGCGCTTAAAATCAGGCAGTCCAGCCGTGCGCGCATGTATTCACATGTATTCGCGTTGCTATATTCATGAATACAACAACAAAAGCGCCTAAAATCGGGACAGTCTAGTTGTACACGCATGTATTCACATGTATTCGCGCCGCTGTATCCAAAATACAACAGCAAAAAGCGCCTAAAATCAAGGCAGTCCAGCTGCACGCGCATGTATTCGCGCCATATATTCGTGAATACAATAACGACAATCACCTTAAAAATAGGTATGTCCAACTGTCTAATAACGAAAATAATATCAATTAGCGTGATACACTCCTAATATAACTCAACAAAATAAATTCTAACACGCCTCATTATCAACCCAATTAATTAGAATAATTTTTCAGTTGTATATAAATGTTGTATTTAAATTTTGTATTTAGTGTGTTTTAATATTTTTTTTTTTACTGTTGCATTCATTAGATTCAATATTTGTATTTACTATATTCACTATTTTATATTCAGTGTATTCAAATGAATTTGAATTAACAATATTTTAGTTATTTCTAATACATGTTATTACCGCTGTATTCAATATATTTCATTAGTTGTATTCACTGTATTTTTATTTGTATTAAGTGTATTTTAATGTATTTTAAAATTAAATGTATTCACTGTTTATATTCTATTTTATTTTAATATTTGAAATCAGTGTATTCAAATGTTTATATCCTGTATTCATGCATGAATACAAGTGTATTCAGCTGTATTAAAAAAAAAATACAATATGTTCCTTTTCTCTTCTACTATCGAGAGTCGTTTATCATGGAGGCCAGTGTTGCCAATGCATCCGCGAACTTATTTTTTCTCTTGGTAGTGGAGAGAAACTGATTACATTCAAAATACATAAATACATGCAAAAAATAATGTATTTATACTAGTATTTTAAAAGGCGTGGGCGTAAGGCGGGGCGTTTTACATATGCCTCAGCGGGGCGTAAGCCCCATAGGTATTTAATTTTTAATATTTTATAAAATAATATAATGATAATTAATATTTATAAACAGGTAAAATTGCATAAAAATTAAAGAAAACTATATACGTGTGTTCCATCCCCACAAAAAACTAATCAAAACAATCTATTATACGTTACTTACAAGCACAAGTAATTTGAGTCTAAAAGAATAAAGTTTTCTATATGAAGGAACAAAAAGGATGATTAACCTGTAATTTGAACTTTGAATTTGCTGCTATAAAAAAAATATAGTTCTCTTTGAATTTGTAAAATAAATTAAATATTCGTTACTTTTGGGAGATATTAGCAGACTAGCGGACAAGATAAAAATTTGAAAAAATCATGAATTAGGGCTTAAATCAATAAAAAAGGTCTTTACTTTTAAATTTAATACTTTTGAGTTCCTTTTTAAACCTTTTGAGATATTACCAAACTCACTTTTGAGAATTTGGGTATTATATGAAGGACTAATTGAACAAATTTTATTTTAATTTGAAAAAGTCTCTGGGGCTTGCTCCTTACTAAAAAAACGCGCCCCGAACGCCCGGGCGTACGCCCCAAATTGCGGGGCGTACGCCTCTTGAGACTTTCGCCCCACACCATCGCCCCGGGGCTTTTTTGGTATGCCTCGCCCCGGGGCTCGCCCCAAAAACGTCTTTTAAAATAGAGATTTATACAAAAATACAATGTATTTGAGTGAATTTATACCGAATATAATGTGTTTGTATCATTGTATGTGACTAAATAGCAAAGAAGGGAGAAAGTTCGCCGGAGATGGCATTTTCGGCCAAGCAAAATATTACATTGTATTAAAACTAAAAATAGAGACGAACAAAAACCTCGACCATCAAATCTTCTCCGGCGTAAAAAATATTGCAATATCCGTATAGAGGAATCTATTACAATATCCGATTTAGAAGAAAGCCACAGTCTCTTTCTTTCTAATATTATTGTACAAATCCATTGCAAATATCCGGCATAGAAACTAAGCAGTACAAATCCATTGCAATATCCGACGTATAAACTAAGAAGGTATTTTGCTCGAAGAGAGAGAGAGAGAGAAAGAAATTTTTTTTGATGGGATTTGAGAGAGAATCGTGTGTTAATTGAAAGAAAGAAAGAGAAGGAAGATAGAGAGAAAGAAGAAAAAAATCTGAGAGATAATCTTATGTTAATTGAAAGAAAGAGAGGAAAAAAATAAATAGCGTATTTCATTCATGTGGGGGATTGTTGGGATTTTAAGCTTGTGTAGCTTAAAGAGGGTGAATGAGAAATGGAGGGAAAATGAAATATTTGAGTTTCCCTTGGGAAAGGGACATTGTCCCATATCGGAGAAAAAAAAAGGTTTTTGATGGGTATATATATAATTGCTCTTCTTCTAGATCTTAAAGAGTTAAGAAAAAAAGCAAGCCTCGCGCCGTCGTCGTCGTCGCTCGGCTTCGGCTTCGGCTACGGCTACGGCTACGGCTACGGCTACGGATTGATTGATTAATCTTTTTGGACAAAATTCCTTTCAATTATTTAATTAATTAATTAAATAATTAACGAAAAATTCAATCCGCCCGCCCCGACCCGGTTCGGTCAGGCCCGTTTTTTTTTCCGGATTATTTTAAATATATTTTTCTCGCAATATTTCAAACACCCCTTTTCCAACAGCCATGGCTGTTTCTGAAAGGTTGCAAACCTTTTTAGAAACATTGCCATCAACTCTATAAATAGAGTTTGAATCCCAGAATCTTTCCTTACGAAATTTTCTGAGCTGCTGCTTCTTCTTCTTCTTCTTCTTCTTCTTCTGCACAATATTTTTCAGTGTGTTTTACGACCATTGAGTGATTCGCAGTTCATCAGAGTTTTGGTACCAATACACTGGTGAGTTAAATCATTCTATCCTGGAAGGATATATTCCAGCACCTCGGGTACTTGAGGGGAATAATTTCCTTAAGGACACACTGTGTATTCAGTGGGCTCGATTTATTCCTATACTGTTTTTTTTATTTGTTTTTCAGAATCTATTTCGTTAAATAAGTATTACTAACTTTTTTTTCAGAAAGTTTAATTGTTTATTACAAATATACAGAATAATAACACTTCCAACTGGTTAATAAAATAACAAACATTTCACAATACTATGATTTGTAAATAAAAGAGAAATCTTTAGATAAAGTTGTTTGTATATTGTTACTTTCTAATACTTATAGTTTTCATACCCCATGAAACAAAAGAGACACTATTATTATCAACCGGAATAGAGTAAAAGAAAAGGACATGAAAAAAAAGTGTTGAGACTGTATTATGAAGACCTTGTAAAATTTTAGTTGATAATAATAGGACCCATTTTTCAGTTGCAATGTACTCAACTTCTAATTTATGATTGATAACGATGGCTTTTAAAGAATTGAGATTTAGTTACGGAATTTTTTGATTTACAAGGCTAATTATACTCGACTGCACAAAATAATGGGACGAGCCTCGTGTGTTGGGCGTGCATTTTACAAGACAAGAGCTTAGACCATTTTTCATGTGCCTCGTCCCACGCAATTCCTGAAGAGTCTTATTTTGCCATGGTACGTAATTTTTGTTATATCTATATATTTAAAGTATATTCTGGTATGTGTATTTGCTGTTTTTGCCTGATTGTTTTTGAACTTCATATCCAATATACCGTAATTATATGTACATGTCTAACTTATACATTCTTGCTTTGGGAAAACAAGAAAGTAACTCCCTCTCCCACCCATAACAAATAGTCAATTCCTTTACCTCACCAATTGTATACCAGTCGTGGCAACCTTATTTCTTTTTCATT